GTTTTTTAAATTGTTGCTCTACACTGAAGACACCCCACATAACAATGTCGCTAGTGGGTCACATAATGATTCTGGTCCTTACCTCCTACAACTGCAATCTCATCAGAGGACAGATCCTCCAGTAGAAGTCCAACAAACTCACAGGTATCAGATGCTCACATAGGATTTTTTCCTTGCATTTATACCACCAGTGGACAGGAAAATCCCATTACAGGTAGTGACAGACAACTAGGAAGGAGACAAGTCGGTGACCTGATCCTAGGACAAGCACTTGGGACTTCATAAAAGCCTCAGCAGGGCGGACAAAAGGCCGACTGCCATGCTCAGCACAGCAGTAGTGATGAGACAGAAACAGGCATGCAATTCCCCCTGCTCTCCTCAGCTGTGCTGGCTGTCAAGACTACCAGGATTAAAAAATCTGCTTAATACAGATTTATTCTTGTCACTTTTCAGATTACATCACTCAGACTCTCACTCATCTTCCTCTGCTGTTGCAAGAAAAGATTACATTTGGCTAATATGTATGAAAAATGTGATTATTGCTTATCCTTGTACCTGTGCAACATGAATTATCTTCTGTTTGCAATTATTCCTCCCTTCACACCATTATTCCAAGGAACTTAAGGTTTGTATATTCTGTGACTTGCTGTAATAGTGTACTTAAAAGACAAAAGGTGCAGCTTTAAATAATGCGAATACTAAGAAAGCAGCGTATATTCAAATTTAAGTTTTTTAATACTTTCAGGTGGCTGTAACAGAAAGAAAAGTTCATCTTTTTGAAAGCTAAAACCTGGTCAATTCCTTGTAATGCTTTCATCCAGTTTCTCTTTCTAAGCATAATTATGAAACAAAAACAAATGTCTGAACTTGTTCACACTGTTTATTACAGTTTCTTCCCTCTCCCCCACCCCCCACCACCTCTCCTTCAGATCCCCAAGATGGTTGAAAGAAGCTTGGCAATGTGCACCCAAGAGCCAAGTGAGAACAAACTCCTGCTGCAGTCAATTCAGTTTCACAGCCGCAGCATTCTTGAAACTCACCTCCACATAAAGTGCTGAATGTTGAAGTTTCTAATAGACACTAAATGGTCACAGCCACAACAACGTGAGACATTCATGCAGTGCACACACACTGCCATAAAAGAGGCCATTTCTCCTACTTTCTGACTGAGCTCCATTAAAACTAACCACAATCTGTTTGAATTCATCTGTAGGTCTGCAGACCATACATGTGAACTCCAGATTCTTTATGTGTGTGCTTTTTTGTACTTTTGCTCATCAAGTAGACAGGTAGTAATCACATTTTCTGAATAATTACCCCTGATTTGGTTCTTCTACACATTCCTAAGGTCAACTCATCACCGTATATTAAGTCAGTTACAACTTCTCACAGCAGCACAACAATCACAAACATGATCTCTACTACAGATTAAGATAACCACTTCCAGTTCTTCAGGAAAAAAAATAATAATAATAATTCTGGAATCCCCTTCAGAAGGTCCCAAAATAATGTTAGCAAGGCCCTGATGAGAGTGATTTTATTTGATAAGGTTTCAGGTTGTATAAGGAAGCTTAACAAACAGCGTATTGAACAACAAGCTCAAATATGCAGACATTCATCAAAACCTGATCACAGCACACCATTGCAACATGGACAATATGGCTTGACGAGAGTCTAGGGGAGGGGACAGGAAAGACATAAAGGACAGTCATTGGTTACAGAGGCATAGTTATTACTTAATGTACTCTGCTTTCAAGATGAATCTTTAAATGGAGTGACTCTAAATAACAGGGTTCTAAAGAATAAGAAATTGGGCTTGAAACAGCATTGTTAAGGTATCCAGCAGCACTGTAACAAAGTAGTTTCTTCAGGGGCCAGTTGTAGCTTCAAAGGAAAGATTTGCCTAGGGCAGAAACTCAGCACAGAATCTGCAACTCGTATTTTTAATTAGTCAAATTTTGCAAGCAAAAATCCTTGGTACTCCAGAAAGAGGTTTTGTACTTTAAGGTACATGAACCAATGATTGATCATTCCTGGTTGGTGATAACAGCAGCTAAAATATTTATATATTAGCCTGTTTTCAATGTGGTACCCCTGTAACATTAATAAGAGCTGCGCTTGCCAATCAGCAACACAGCTGAGAGCCTACAACAGTTGCAGGACAAGAGCAATACCCAGAATTAGATTAAACCTCTATTTTCAGAAAGCCATCTACAGGTAGACTCTTCCCATAAAATACTTGCAAACACCATCTAGTTAACCTTTGGCACCATGAAGCAAGCACAGCAGCAGCAGAATTTAAGAAACGTGGTTTCCTCAAACGCTAGCACAGATCCTCTCAAGTCTATCAAAACAGTTGGATTTATATCCACAGCCTCTGCACGAGAGCAACAGCAAAGGGTGAGAGGCGAGGCACTGATATGGGTGCTCTACTATGAATTTTCACAGCACTTTCAGGATTTTAATAATGCTAAAATCCCTAACTCTCTCAGTTTCAGCAGAAAAGGGATCGACGCTGCAAAAATTATTCAAGTAACAAGGAAAGTGAAAAGGCAGATAGAGAGGGAAAGATGGCACATCACTAAACCAGACCAGAATGAAATGCCTAGTGTTTTGCCCAGTCTAAAAAAAAAATTGAAATATCCAGCACTATCAGCAGAAAGCATTTTATCTGTGAACAAGAAGCCAATTCCAAATACTTCAAAGGGCTTCAAAAGAAGAACAAGGACGGACATTATGCTAAGGTGAGGTGCTGAACCTTTCAGCATTTGATGAGTGAAGATTAACTGCTGGTTTGCTCCAGTCGGCACTGCCAAGACACCAGCCTGGGCCTCAAGCAGCAGTGGAAGAACAGCTCTGGAAGCCACTCACCACCACCTTCCATTCACTGTGCTCAGTCTCAGTCAGATCTAAGAAAGACAGCAGTAAAATGTCAGTGGCTTGTTACTATCCACATATCCATTTTCTGCTGAAACCAGTGAAGTTACCTCAGGGTTAGAAATAGCAGAATACTATTTGCAGGCATAACTCTGGCTAATGCTGAATCAGCTATAGACTTGAGTCCAGAAGCACAGCATCTTCAACGCCAGCCCTGAAAATCAGAATTGATTTTCAAGAACAAACACACTACGCCTCAGCAAGGATACTAAACTTGCCAATCAATTTAGATTTCTCCAGACATGAGCTTTATAGACTATATGCAAGCTGAGAAGGAGGCACAAAAAAAGCAATGGTGAGGAAGGAAAGGAGATGGTGGTTTAAATCGAAGGCAGAGGCATAATTTCCAGCACACATACAAACACACATCTTTGCTTCACTGATCATTCAATGAACGTTTGGACTTAGAGTGCCTTTTCATTTGCCTCACGACTGGATGAACACTTAGAAAACACAAAAGATAAAAGACAAGACTAAGTGTAATAAGGATAATTTGGAAGCATGTATGCAGAGTACAAAGACAGCTGAAGGAGTATTGCTCCTTTTTCCACCCAGTAATTAAACATTAACTCTGACCCCTATAGTACTGTTTACACACAAGCATACAGCTGTATACACAGGCCTGTTTCCTTGAACCACTCTTCACATGCATCTCCAGCACTAAGATCTTGTATTTCTGTCATCTTGGAACTCTAATTCTCCCCAGCTCTGCCTCAAAGATCGGGGTACATTCATTTCACACCTGAGAAATGTTCTGAGAGGGATCTAGGAGACCTCACAATGCTAAGGACTCTAAAACCTCAACTGCGAGAACCAGCATTTTCTCCAGTCACTGCTCCTTTTTCCTACACGAGAAGATGGAAAAGGCTTTTCTCAGTTCCTTTCCAACACTTCTTCAGTCTTATACTCTCAGACTAATTCACAAAGCCCACGACTGGCATAGGCATTTAGTTGGAGGCTACCAATCAAACAGTTGTTCTTTCAAAGCTGTCTCTGACATGTATACAGAGAGAAACACTTCATGGGGTAAAGTCTGTACTTAAAAAACAGAACAAAGATGATAAATGAAGCTGAGGATCAGAAATCCTTATGTGTGACAAAAATAACCATAACACCCAATGTATATAGCCCTCTGAGAAGTTATCAGCTTATCCACACAATTACAACAGTGCAAGCAAAGAAAAACAAAGATTTGTAGCTAGGTTCAGTCAAGAAAGAAGAAATACAGATCTTAAAGCGATGGGATAGCTTTTCTGATACGAGTTAGAAATGCATAAATTGGTCATGCATCAAGTACACCAGGCACAAACCACGGGTTATACGAGGAACTCAAAAGACACAAGGGAATTGGAATAGAAGGAGGAAATGAACCTTTGCAGTCTTACATTAGCCACTGTCACACCACTGATTAATGCGTCATCCTAGAAATATTTGGTAAGGTGACAACTAATCAGCACTATCAAAACAAAGCAGAAATTCTTCTGGTCTCTTAATCAGGCTTGCAAAAAAATCTGTATGGTCCTTCACTGTTTATAGAGGAACATGGCCCTCGGATTTTGGGTGACATTACTTGCAGGTGACAAGAAGAAGCTTGGCTTCACTGATCAATCTGTGTCTTTGCTGGGGATTTCAATTCCAAATTCTCAGGAATGGAGAGCAAACATTTGTCGTCCTTCTAACACCATTTTAAACAATAGCTCCAAAGTGGGAATTTTTACCTGTCTGTATTTCAAATGTCCACCAGCTTATTCAACTGAAAACACATCAACTTGTCCTTACCCCACTACTGTAACCATGATTCATTTTTAAAAAAACAGGCCTCATCCTATTGAATGCCACCAAACATGTGTCTTATCCTTTAGCTCAAATATATTTTGCATGGCCTTACATGAATTGCTCAGATAAAAGCCTTTTTTCTTCTACTTTTGTTATTTTAAAGTGCAGATGCATTTGAGTCATTTTCCCCTTTTGTTTCATATCCTTAAGATCCACAGCTTCAAAGACAAAATGTCAGCATGCAGTCGATTTATGACTGAACTCTTGAAGAGACACTGAAGAATTACCTTGTCAATCACCCCAAGGACTCTGAAGGCCTTCAGTTCCTCGGCAGGGCTCCTTAGGTTCCAAGAGGGCCTTGAACTTAGTGATCCTGGAGGCTAATGGAAGATATCAAAGATTACACATCAATCAGGGTGGTACTTGAAGGAAGACTGCCTGCTGAAGCAAATGCCAGGCCGAAGGAAACTAAATTTATCATAAATCAGAGAGAGTGAAGATGAAAGGAGAAGTTTTCTGTTTGTCCTTAGTGGGGGGAAAAAAAACAACTTGCAAGTAAATAAAACCAAGATAACATCGAAAACAAAATTTTGAAAAGAAAAAATAATGACTTTTTATACTTTCTATGCTTAGCAGAACCTGGTTGAATCAATTGCTGAATTCTTAACCCATCCCAATAATCAAAGCCTTATAGCTAGTACAGATACAAAATAATTCAGAGATCACTGAAGAGGAGAAAGTAAATTAGAGGCTTTTTAAGTTTGAAGAACATAAAATACAGGATTATAAACAGAATTCTCTTGTTCTCTGATGAGCTTTATGAAATCCTTTTAATAGCAAGGTGTACAATAATTTCTAATGCTGCCTCAGGAAAAGGAAGCTAGCTATATCATATTAATCTAGAAATTAACAAGAAAATCAGCAGGTGCTAACTGTTTAAGTATTTAATACACAGAGACTTTTGTCCATTTTGTACTTCATAATTTCTCAGGGCGGACTCCAAGTTTGCATGGCAGAGGAGGGAACAGTGTTTAAAGCAGAAGTCTTTCAAGACAAAGTTCAACCTCTAAGCATCACATTTTACCTCTGGCACATTAACAATTTAATTTTCAGAAGTTTCTAGTCACAAACTGAGTGAATTCATTAGATCCTCCTCTAAAAATTCAACATGCAGCGTCTACTAAAACCACAGACCAGAGTCCCTTCCTCCCAAATCTGATAAATTCATTTGGAAAGCTGAACACAAAAAGTCTTTTTTAGCCTAACCCAGCCTCCCCAAGTCTCTCCTTCTAACATACAAAGATAAAGGAAGAGAAAGGTGAAACTCTTTGATTTTTAAATTTCTGAAAGTCAAAAGTTCATCTCACATTTGTCAGTATCTGGAGACATTGTTAATAAATATGTCACAAAGGAAAATGATCAGAAACTTGCAGAAAAACTGGAGACATTAAGCCAGTTAATTCTGTTTCCTCCCCACGTAGTGTTTGCCCTCCTATATATTCACTGTGCTATTGTCAAGGACCAGAGCACCTCTTCATATCTCTCCCCAAAATCAGTTTCCCTTCACGTTGTCAATCGCCTTATTTCCTTCCAAATTATTTCCTGAAAGCAGCTCCTATTTTAGCATTGCCTGTGAAATTCAACAGAAAGGGCCAAAAACACACATTCCAAAAGCCTGGAACATGTTCCAAAGGTGTAATTTCCCTTTTGTCAATCTACTGGGCTCTCGGTTTAAAAGAGTTTATTATTTATCTTCATTTAACTGATTGGCTCTTGTGATTTTCCTTGTCATGCAGATACTGCTGAGTACCAACAGCACTTAGAAGAAAACAGCCCAGATTCTACAAATCACTAAAGCTTTTGGTACAAAGAAGAAAATAATTCTGCATGAAGTTTGTTCTCCAGACCTACCTTAGGTCCTACATGCTAGTAAGCTACCAGGAAGGTCAAGGCGGATTTCTTTTTCTGTCTTGTATTTACAAGTGTGTGCTATTTTTTTGCATTAAAAAAATAGATGCTTTGAAACGGAGTTCTGCTAATGCAGAGTTTAATCATGACACAATTTCAAAAGCATTCTAAGGAATATGTGTTATGAAAGAAAATATTTCAAAATTCTCAGGACTACTTTAAAAGATTTCAATTTACAAGCTATTACTTTTTTATAACACTGCTTGATAATCATGCTTTCAAAACTTTCTCTTATGCACAATGTCCCAACCATGAATTAAGTTCATGCGTCTGTTCATGTTGTCTTAACAGTGCTACAGAACTGTACTTCTGCACCCATCATGTCCATAGAGTCTGAAGTAAACAGTACACATTCTTGGGTTCTTCTCTAAAATATCACTAACAATGGCACAGTCAGTAAAGTACATACACACTGTTCTCCATATGTGCATTTTATAGTTGCTTCCTTAAAATGACTAATTTTTTAATTTTTTTTTAATTAACTTCAATGATTAAGTTGCTACCTTAAAATGATTAATAACATTAATGTCTCTACAGTTCTCAGTAGCTTTTCTATAAGTTTCAGGCTATTTTTCTTTTTCTTCTTTGCCCTTTAAAGTGGTGTGGTTTCACCATTGCAACGTCTAGTAGATGAACCCAGAGTTGGAAAGACATCGTACTCTGTTGCAACAGCAAGCTCTAAATACTCAATTTCCAGAAATAAGGCAATTAAGCATTATATGCCTGCTCCTCTGAACAGGTGAAAAACCCAAGCTCAGCATCTTGCCAGCAATAAGAAAAATAACTAAAGGACAGCTTGCTCGTGAAAACTAGAGGAATAAAGAAGGAAAAAAAAAAAAACCAAACAGGAAAGAGGCTAACAGAAAATCAAAGACTTAATCTGCTTTTAGAAATAAGGCACTCATATTCTAAAGAAAGTGTCAGACTACCTATACCCACACAACTACCTGAAGAATAACTTCAGCAACCTGTCCAAATGCTCAGTATACTGCTCAGGTATTCTAAGACTTTCTCTGCTGCTGCCTTATATACCATTTCTAGACTACACTCTGATCTTCACAGCAGAAGCCAGCTGGGATTACCTGACTAGGGACCAGCATCCAAAGTCTTGCAGTTCCTTTCCTACCATCACCTTTTGTTAAGCCAGAGCTAACTTCAAGTGGAAAAGGATGATGTGATTGTGATTTCGAAGATGCGACAATTCGTGTCCATCACCAGTCTTCAATAGGCTCTAACTTTGCAACCTACACAATGAAGCATAGCTCTTGATTTAACTTCAGCATCGCTGTTGGCCATTACAAGAGCCTCTCATGTTAACCTCACTGAAGACAAGAGTTCTATCCCTAGCCTGGTGATGCAAACACCATGTGACAGAAGGTAATTCTACTGCTGATTCCACAACTTCTGACAGCAGTCTTCACAGAATTTCAGGATTAAAAAAGAGCACTTTCAGAAACATCAGTGCAGAGCTCAGCTCCAAGCTGCACATCAAAATTAGATCTCCCCTCACGATGCAGAGGTCAGTGTTTGATGACTTCAGTCACCACCCTTGATAGCATGGCCAAAACCCTCACTTCAGCAAAGAGATTCTTCATTTTGAAGCAGATTCTGCTGGCCTGAGATGCAAAGTTTCACATGATGGCTGTGAAACAGTTTCCAGTTCTCCTGGTCCAGTAGGGCACCCTGAATCTGCATCAAGCAAAAAACATGCTGCATCTCTGCATGCATCTGAACAGAGACTAAGTTAAGGTGCGCCTCACAAGGTCCCCAGTGACCACCAATTTGAAATGGTATCTTCCAAGAAGCTGAGACACAGCTGGGGTCATGTACATCTAGAATCAACAGCTGATTGGTATGCAGAATGATCTGGAAAACCTTGAGACTGAATTTCTATTTTATGTTAAACTTGCATAACATAAAACTAAAACAGTGTATTTTCTTTACACTTTCTGCAGTTTTTATGCACATTGAATGAGAAATTTAGGAAGTACAATATCTTATTAAATAACTGCAAAGAACAGAGATTACTTTTCCTGTTTAGGCATTGAGTTTGCCTGTAATACACAATACTAAATTGCTCTGAAAACTGAAAATATCTGACATTTTAGAGTACAACAGCTTTTGTAAAGTTGCAAAAAGAGACAATCCAAATATAAAATAAGTGGTGTAAGTGGAACTAGAAACAGTTTCAAAGAGTGAAGAAGATATGCATTGCAAAAATACCTTCAGCGTTAAAACAGACCATAGCCTGTATGCATATTTGTGCTGGGTCTCCCATTCGACAGCTATGCTAGTCTGAAGCTTTCTATTGGTCAGCCCAATGCAATTCAAAGGCTGCTGAGGCTGGCTATCTCTCTCACTCAGGCTTGGCGGTGACTCCCTTAAAGCTTGCTAGTCATAAGCAGGCAAAAGAGAAAAACAAAGCTTGAGAACCTGCAAAATGGCCTGCTGCTGCCAGCATTCTTGAGTATTTATTGTCAAGAAGGCTCTTGAGGCTGCCATGCTGTGCTGAGGAAGAGCAGGAAAGTGTTTGCTGAAGCATGTTTTTCCATAAGGTCTGTATGCCTGTTTACAATCTTCAGAAGGTCCCTCCACATCTCCCACTCCAACAGATCTACAGCAGGGCTTTTCTCAATGTTTACCATACCTTGTCAAGTAGGTTCCCAGTTCATGGTCAGTCACAGTTGCATCTGTTCCCTGCGCTGCTTCTCAGCCTTAAGAAATCTTCTATCCATCCTTAAGACCTCTACTTGTAACCTTTTTCAACAGTGCCAAGAGTTCTTCAAAAACACGTCCTCTTGTGTTTCTCTCTTCACTACTCAGACTTGCCAGCAGCAGGGTGGTTGCTAAGGATGCTATCCTTGAGGGCTACACTGATGGCTTTTTGCCGAGGCAAGAGAAGTAGCAAACTATTATCATTCTTTGTTTGGTTTCCATGGCATCAAAGAATCTTTTTCTTTGCAGTTCTGAAACACCAGGCTATTGCCTCTAAAGAAATCTGGTCTTCACTGAGGCAGGAGCATGGCATTTCAGGCCTGGAAGAATAGCTTGCTTCCTTCAGGAGAAGCCCCTCTGCCTTACTGCCCCTTAGAGTTCAGATGGTAAACACATGGCTTGGGTTATGTTTGTAACACACAGCCTTTTTAAGGCTGCTTCATATGGCTCAGCATAAGCCTGACAGATTTTGGGAGTCATGAGGAGCAGGGACGTGCAAGACAAATACTAAACCCATCCTTCAGAGCTTACCTCTTCCCTTGCTGGATATTTCTCTGGCCGGGTGGATGAGAAAGAAGCAAAATATCACATCTATGAAGGCCAGATAAGCCTGGTTTTGAAGCTGCTCACCCTGTTCCTTGTAAGGGCACAAAAGAAACACAAGACTACCTATGCTGGTCATGAGTGACAAAGCAGTTCTGCCTTTTAACATCAGGTGGTGAATAGAAACACTGAAATATTTACTCTTGCTATTTAACCAAGCCTCCTCCTCCAATGTGCTTAAAGTTTCAGTGCTTTCATATTCCATGAAGTTCCCTGCACTGAATCATGTTTTCCTTGCCAGAAATGCATCCTGCCCATCATAATACAGGCACAGGCAATTCCAGGAGTCTATTACATTTGGAAGTGTGACAAAACTTGACCATGCTTCTAGTAAAGGCATCATATATATACTAAAGCAATGGTTCCTTGCAAACACTTTAGCATCACTCTAACAAGGACAAAGAGATGAGATATCTCTTTGCTGACCCATCTGGGCAAATAAAGATTTGTATAGTCTTATTTGCCTTTGTATCCTGTCTAAGCACCAATATTTGAACAAGAGATGGGATCAGTCTGCAGGACTTACAACAGTAGGGGATGCTACCAGTAACAAACTAGCCTTGCCCCAGACTTGACCAAAGCCATGCTTACAGCAGTTCAGAAGCTAGCTAGTTACAAGGAACGTGCACACTAATCTTCAAAACTATAGACTTAATTTCTATAGGGGACACATGCAAAATATCTGCATGTTTCCGCCAGTGAACATCACCCCACAGACAGATGCAGGTAATTTCAATACACTTTATCACTGCCTGCATGGGATGGAATACTTCACGCACACACACACACACACACACACACAAATCTACCTTGGGAACTAAAAAGGATAAGTAGTAATTTAGTAATTTAGTAGTAATTAAGGTGAAAGAATTCAGGTCTGATCTGCAAACACCATACAGGGAGTCACATTCTTCTTTTTGTAAGATCCTCTCCTGTCCTGAAAGCCAAAGTAAAGAACATGCCAATTCCTCACCTTTAAAACAATTTAGGGAAGTCCTACTTCCCATAAATTTTCAGCTATAAAATCAGAGACAAGTTATTCTCCGCCACAACCATCGTGACCCAACAGCACTGCCTGCATCTGATGCCAGAAAACTACAAAAACTCTAAGACAAAAGTAAGGCTTCCATGTTATAAAGAGTAGCAAATAAATGGAACTAAAATACAAAGGGAAAACAGTGCCATAGGGAAGACAAAGCCACAGCCTAGAAAAACATTTTTATCGTAGAAAGGAGAGTAGAACATTCAGATTTGCCCTATCTTGTCAATTCAGAGTTTCAAGAAGACTGAATTTCTAGTCTCATTACGTTTTTTTTTTCCTTTTGTCTTACTCCAATTAGTTTCACTTTCTTTGGATCTACGAAGAAGACATTTGCCTTACTCAGTACAGCAAAAGAGGAAATATTTCTCAAGCCCACATAACAAAAACGCAACCTATTTCTTCCTCCTTTCCAACTGCAATTAGTTTTTAAACTTATAAAAGGGTAAAAATAGGTTGTTCTTGGGTTTTTTTTTTCCTTGTTCTGTGGTTTCCAAACATACTGAGATTTCCATTCAATACAGATTCTTCCCCACTTTCAGGGGCACCTGACCCAAAGAAAGACTACCTAGTAGGAGTTCATATCAGTCCAAAATACTAAATTGTTCAAAGTACAATTCACAGCAGCAGCAAGACTGCAAATCTCACAAAATATATCTCATTTGGAACATTCTCAAAAAAATGTACTTGAGGGCTCTCAACACAGAAAAAGTTACCTTTAAAAATCACTGGTTTTGCTTTTTAAATTACTTGTTATGCAGTAAGATTTTTATAACACTTCACATTTAGGTAGCTGTAGTCTCCTTAGAGCATTTTTGGATCTGTGCAACCTAAGAAGCAATAATCTCTGTGCTTTTTGCCCTTACCTGATACACACGCAAAGAGATGGGAAGTTGGTAAATTTTATATTTACGATAGAGCAGTCACCTACACGTAGCTTCACATGAGTGCAGTAAAGATCTAAAGTAAGAATAGATAAGTCCTGATGGAAATGGTTGGGGAAGGGCAAAGTAGAAATTTATTGAGGGCGTCTTGGAGCGAGCTTTGTTTATCTTTTGCACAAGTACAGATAAGGGTGTTTCTGCTTAAGACAGTCCTGAAACTCCACACCAATAAAGAATCTGCTGATCACTCAAACACAATCAGGAGAGACATCTAAAGAAAGCAAAAAGAGCCTTAGCTCAATTAAGTATTTATTTCTAACCATCCCCCACCCCTCCCAGCTCTACAAGCTTAACTCAGTTGTGATACATCCATATGTGCTAGGCTAAAGAAACCAACAGACTTTCTGCTACATCCAGGAGTGAGTAATATTTTCATTGAAAAGTCAAAAAAAAAAGTTTTAGTGGTGGTTTCTGGTTTTTTGTTTGTTTTTTTTTTTTTTTTTGCTTTAACTTGAAATCTTTAGCACAATCAAAATGTCCACCTCATCAACTGTGGAGCAGAAGGAAAGTGTGCTAAATTAAGCATAGTCTCCAATGAAATGAAACCAAAAAGAATAGGAAAATAAGAGCAAGTTAATAGAAATATAATGTCAAAATACTCCTTAGTCCTCCTGAGATAAATTCCAAAGATTTTGATCCTCAAGCTTGAATATGTTTTACTATGAGACAGAACAATTCAATTAGACCAAATTTTAAAAAATAATAATAACAAAAAATAAACCCTACCATAGAGACATCTTCAGAGGATTTGTGGTACAGACTGGAAATCTTTTCAGCTCGCATGAGGTATTCTGCAGTCTTCCTTTTCACTGCTTCTCGACGAGTTGGACTTGATTCACCTCAAAGGAAAAGAAAGTAAGGTTATTTTTTCTACACAGAGAGAGGTGTTAAGTAATCAAAGCACATGACTGCTTTGATTCTACCTTTTTGATTTACTTTGGGTTACTAATAATCAAAACTACAAATATGCATCTCATAAAACGCAAGTACTATGATATCAGAGTTCTACCAAAAAAAAAAAAATTAAACCTTGTAATAGACTGAGGTGAATAAAAATTCTTAGCTAATTTTTCTGTGATCTGGCAGATGTTCCTATTGTAACTTGAACTGCAACAAACTGCCAGTCTAAACACTGTACCTCCCAAAATCTCAATTACAGAAAACAAGATAAGAGCTTACATAGAAACAATAGAGAAATTTTTGGAGCTGTTTTCCCCCCCTATGTTTCTAACATGAGATTCCTTAAGTATAAAGGGAATACAGAAATGCTACCAATAGTCAAATGACAACATGGGAGACGTCAACAGCTCCTGCTCACAACGTTCTGATGCTTGCTGCTTCTTTGCTGTTGACTTGGGGGTGACACAGTAAGAGAGGAAAAACCACTCATATCAACTATTTCAATTTCCAGATGGCTGAATATTCATTGTGTTAGACCTAGTCAATCCAAACTTTTGCAAGAGGTGATAGTCCTGTGGTACTGCAAAAAATCTATGTTCACTCTAAATCCTCAGGCACTCTCGTCACAAGCAGTGCATTGCTACAAGAGACTCGATTTTTACTAAAGAAAAAAAAAAGAATTCAACTACCAACCAAAGAGAAAAAAACTGTGCACCATAATTGCTAGAGCAGAAAAATGAAAATACTGTGGCTGCTGAAATACTGAAATGTCTGCCCTGGAAGTTCTCAGAGTAACAGCAAAAATTTCATTTGGCCATGACAGTTGCTTCCAGCCACAACTGAAGCTGCCCAAGACTTGCATAAACACAGCCTTGGCTACAGAAGGCTTCAGAATCACCAGGTGTAAGTCAGCACCGTTCTCAAACAGGGCAAGGAACCGCAAGGTTATCTAACAGCTACTCAAGATAAAAGACAAGGCAAGGAACAGGAGAGGTAATAAATTAAGCATGCAAACACCAAACCCTGACAAACAGCAGATAGCAGAGAATAACAAAGACTAGAACTCATAAGAAAGAGATCAATGAGCCATTTGACATGCCCACCAAGTGCAACCTTGAAGAAGTTCAACCAGAAACTTGGTGACTGATAAGAAAGGAACCTGATTATTGTGGGTTATTAAGAACAAGTCTCATAAAAAAAAAAAAAAAAAAAAAAAAAAGCAAAATTATTACAGGATGTCTGAGGGAAACCAAGGAAGAACTTACTGAGTAAAAGTTTGTTAGAACTTAATATGGAATGCTTTATAAGAAGAATTGTGGGAAGGTTGAAGCCTCATCTGAGATGTTTAGGGCCAGGATTAAAGGTGAGGGACAAGGTAGAGTCCCAGGGGACAAGCGTGAGAAAATAGGGATGGGAATTACATCAGTTGATTGTGTGTAAGTAGGCTGTTAGTCAGCACACCTTAGTCTAAGATCCTGTACCTGATCATCATTGTCTTACCTTCTCACTCAAGTCTATTCTTCCTCATTTTCTGCATGTGTGAGCTCATTGCTCTCTGTGCATATGATGCAATACCAACCTTCACACAAGACTAGCAGACAAGTCTACTGAGAGTCAGACAATGGGCCTGGGCCCAGTCTTTCCCAGAACAGCGATAGTTCAAAAAAAAATTGAGCTGCACACTTTGTCCATGGTTATGTAGGTGCCTACAAAGGCAATGTCCTCTGTCTGTGCCCATCTGTTTGTGGCCAGCCGTGTGCCTACAGAGAATGCAGTCACATGCATAATCCTCTCAGAAATTTGCAGCACAACTGGCAGGACCCAAAGGAGAGGTGAACTGCCTACACTGATCTCCAGCAGGTCAGGGCAGCAGGAGGCACTCTGATGTCCGAGTCTTTCAGTTGGACAGACCTGGTTAGCTTTAACATCTGATTCCTTAATAAAGAAGGATAAGAAGGTTGTCTGAGCGCTCTTATTTCTCAAAACATTTTCAAGATTGGAGAGAAAAGTGAAAAGCCAAGTAGCAGGTTTCTTTAGAAAATTCCTCTACTGTAGAACCTCTCAGTTATTTTCCCTCTGCCTTATACAAGAAGAAACAAATCACAGAATGGTTTGGCTTGAAAGTGACCTGAAAAGTCTATCCAGTTCCAATCCCCCTGCAATAGATAGTGTCACCTCTCCCTAGACTGGGCTGCCCAAAGCCCCATCCAACCTGGCTCAGAACATCTCCAGCGATGGGACATCCACATCTTCTCTGGGCAGCTTGTTCCACTGCCTCACCACCCTCTGAGTAAAGAATTTCCTCTTTATATCTCATCTACATCTATCCTCTTTGAGTTTAAAGACATTACCCCCTCATCCTTTGATAAAGAGTTCTTCATCTTCCCCACAGGTACTGAAAGGTTGCTATAAGGTCAACCTAGAGTCTTCTCCAGTCTGAACAATCGCAGATCTCCAAGCCTGACACCATAGGAGAGGTGCTCCAGGCCTCTGATCATTTTCATGGCCTCCTCTGGACCCATTTTAACAAATCCTTGTGTTGGGGGCCACAGAGCTGAATAACGTACTCCAGATGGAATCATTGCCCTTGCTTTAAATAACACTTTGACCAAGAGAGTGAACAAGGCAGAGCGGTCTTTACTACATTGTTTTTGTTCTACCAGTCATTTTGACCTTGCTAAATTAAAGATTCACCCTCACTTTTGTATTGTGACTACCAACTACCTAAAGGCACAGAACTGCCACACACACTCCATCAAGAACAGAGCAGAGAGACTCATGCTCTACTCCAAGCTCTGCTGAAAGTGATCTATTGTAACTATTACTATCCATCTCCCACCAGGTGGAAAAGTGATTGTTAACTCCTTGGACAAAGATACAGAGCCTTTCTCCATAAATACCTTGGACTGCACGTGGTTTAGGAGGAAGCCAGACAGTCAGAAATTCAGCACACTTTTAGGTTACAATGTAATGGATATGCACAAATTTCTGAGTTAACTCCTCTCATTCTAAAGAGAGAGCAAACTCAGGTCTAGCTCCTCTTAGATCAGTCTCTACTAATACTCTTCTGGTGAAATTCCCTTAGATCAGACTACCAGTACTATTCTCATGTTGAAGAAAAAATAAAACTCAATTGTTTGAGCTTGGGATTGGCTGTATCAGCATGGAATAGACACACAGGGTTTTGTTTGCTTTTAAATAAATGTGTTGCAATTTCTTGAAATATGACCAACACTGCTGCGTTCATCTTTAATCTCAGAGCACCATAAAACTTTGTAATGATCACTGGTGATCGTCAACATTCTCAAAGGCACACAAAAGTGGTAGTTGCACAGGGAAAACAAATCATCCACATGGCAACATTAAACTCTTCAGCCAGCATTTTCTTCAAACAAACTGGTAGAAAACTGCTAGGCTAGTGTCTAAGGCTATCATAAAAGTCAAGCTTACTGCTTAATTGTTAGTTATGTGTATTTAGTTTGGATGTTTATTGCCTTTTTTCAATGCTTCAGTAATTTTACAGTAATTAACGCAAACAAGATAGGCTGTCCCCTTAGAGCTGTCTTTGTTCTCCCTACTTTCACAAGACATTAATTTCAGTTTTCCTTCTAGTTTCCCTTCCTGAGTAATTTGTTAAAAAACATTCACAAACTGTTCAGTCATTAAAATCTTCAGCCATTAAGAGGGTGCAAATTCACAAACTCCATGAGTTCTTGTATCTTATTCATGATCAAGATCATTATCAGTTCCATCCCTAGGAATCCTGTAATAAGGTGTATGTTTGAGTGGGAGTTGGGGAACTGGATTCTTAGAACAGGATTTTTATTTATATTAGTTTAACAAAGCAAATGAAAAGGAAAAAAAGAAAAGCCATATTCCAATGTAATTTCCCATTTAGCCAGTCAATGCTTCATGGAAATCTGTAACGAAGTAGAGGATACAAATTCTACAGGAGTAGAGAAAATATTACTTCAAAAAGTCTTAGCACAGGGTGATGCCTAATAATAAAAGTCTCATTATACTAAAAATAATCTTTACCATTTATTTAATTTCATCGATTTCAATTTATCAACCGCTTCATTTAAATAAAGCATTAGAACACAGTGCTAGAAAAAATCTCTGCCTCTGATAGATGCTTCAGCTGTGAGACAGACTATGCATATTTTTTCAAAATGGCAATATCACATTTTGTTATAATATTTTGTAAAGTGAAACAAATGCGTGTTCTTCAAAGAATCAACGCATTTATTTCGAGTGAAGATCTTTTGATTTTACCACTGCATGAACACACTGAGTTCCTATTTTCATTCTGCGGTTAGCCTGCAATAATCTAAAGAAGTATCTCTCTTTAATTACAATTTATAACTTGAAAGGCGTTTTTCTTTAAATGGCAGCAAACAGGAAATGTTTAAACTGTGTCAAAGCCTTTGATGAATCTTTACAACTGCTCATAAAAGATCATCCTGCTTAAAATAATATTGATTTTTCATTTATTTTCCTAGATACTAGAAGATTTATGTTTCATCTGATCAGGATCAAAGCTTTTCCCCGCTCCTGATCACTGGGATTAAATCAGCAATGTCATTTTACATGTTTAAAAACTACACTGCTAAAGCACAATATAAAGTGTAGCGATGCTGATCACAGAGACCTGAATAAAAACCCCCTCAAGATTCCTCCCTCTCTCTCCCTCTGCATTTGCTACGGAGCAGCTGTGCCTCACACAGATTCACATGAATGAAAATATTAAGGCGAGAAACCACCCACTTAGTTTATTTTCCATATGACTTTCCTGTAATTATTTTGTAAACTGTTCACACAACAATATATAAAAACATCTGCAAAAACAGGTAATTAATGTGTCAAGCCAAACTAATGCATTTTTTATGGTGTCCATGCTTCGTCAACTGTAATTATAACTCTTTTTAAGCAAATGATG